GTGTCCTTGCTTGAATATTCTCATTTATACTTGCAGCTGCAGTGATGAGCCATTAGCAGGGTTACATGTTAATGGGGGAGCAGCTGGAGCACTCGCTCCTTTGAGGTGGGCAGGAGCTGCTACAGCCTGCAGGTGCTTGAATTTATTTAGCCTAAAGTGGTACCCATGTATTGAAGAACGCTAAAGGTCTGTTTAAAATTTAAGCTAGTGGCTTCACAGCTGAAATGCAATTTGATGGACTGATTCCTGGCCCGTTGCTGAAGGTGTAGCTAATACAGCTTATTAGCAGAGGCTTGGCCTTTTATAGGGAATGTTCTCTTAGCAGACAAGGAGTGCAATTGTTGTTTCCAGTCTCCTGCTGTCTCAGGAATTATTCAACTGTTGTTTTTACATATGGGTACATGATGTTGCAGGTGTTGGTGTGTTCTGCTGTTTGCTTGGCTGGGTCCATCTGCCTTGAGCTCACACAGGAGTGCAGAGGGATGCAGTGTGATCCCACCTTTCTCCATGGCAGTCTGGTATTGCTGCTTATTTCAATGGTCTCTTATTCATTTCGTGTTTCTGAGACTATAATGGGAAGTGGTCCATGTTTTTCCATTGTACTGTAACTAGTTTCCTTGAGATTTCAGGAAGAAGGAGATACTGTGTGCCCTACTATCAATGTACTCACAGATCAGCCTGTGATTTTTTTGGTATAAGTTGTCTTTTTGTGATCTGTAGGATGCATCGATGCTTCTTATAGTAAGATACGAAACTATCTACTTAAAACTATTTTCTGGTGAATTGACTTTGCTTTTTATGTCATTGTTACCTCTGTAGGGCCACATAATATTGAAAGAAATTATGTCAGACAGCTCCTGAGTATTCTAATCATCAAGATAAACTTATTTTTTATTAACAAAGCAGAGATAATTATAATGCTTATCTTCAACTGTTGTGCAGGTGTTGTAGCACTATGAACATCAGTGTCTCCAAACCCCAGGTGCTATCAGAGTGGTTTTCTGTTCAAGTTGATGCAACTTTCAGGTGTTGGAGGTCAACAGTTAACCAGGGTTGATTTTCCAGTGGCAGCTTTTTCAAATAGAAGTTTTTTGTTACTTTTTATTTAAAGGCCTTAATTCTTCAAAACTGAAGCATTGTTGAATGTGTACAGAGAAGACACCCACAGTTGATGTGTGTTATGATTCCAGAGTCATACAACACAGACAGCAGAGATAAGTTTCTGTAAAAGATTATTAATTTCTTACCAATGATCCTTCAAGGGCTTTTTGGAGGCAGATGGGCATCCTCAGATAAAAGCTGAGGAAAAAATTAACTTTATAGTAATTGCTTCACAAGCTACCCTGGTTCAGGTGTGTACCCAGAACACACCTTGAACAAGTATGTGGAAGCTTTGGGAAATTCTAGAAGGTTTTTTATTCAGAAGGAAAATACTAGATTTAAACGTGTAGTTTGCTGGCCTTAGCTGTAGCTTTGTGGCTAGGACACAGGGACAGGTGAGCTGAGGCTTCAGAGACTGTGTCCTTTCTTACTTCTTGTGTGCCAGTAGGAAAAATAAATTTGGAAGGCGAACCAGGACCTGGTATTTGATTCTTCCCTTTTTTTGCAGTATAAGACTGATGTCTTAATTTTCCATAAAATATTTAGTATTTCAAGATTGACAAATGCTAACAAAACAATATAAATAAAACAGAATCTTGTAATATTCTCATTTTATAGAGGGAAACAGAGACACAAGAAAGTAACCAATTTCCCTAGCTTTACGAATGATAAAGCACAGCACAGAGGTGGTGATAACCAGGATTCCTGAGTAACAAAAGCACTAATGCTGACGATAATTTATAGAGATCTCATAAATAAACTGAATTGTCTGTAATCAAAGAGTGGTGCTGTTATTGTAACTGTTCTTCTGAAATTATACTTGGTTCTTGAAATGGATATTAATAATCCAGGGGAATGAGTGGTGGTTCACAGAATTGCATCCTACAGTCATTCTCAGTAAGTCTGCCAGTTTTTTACCTTTGATGATTATCTCCTTCTGTGTATATCATACAACAAATAGAAGTCACAGAGAGATGGATGACTTCAACAGAACTTAATGATGATAGTTTTATTCCTGAGTGTGGCAGCATATTTATTTACATCTCCATATACACATGTGTATAAGAAAATTAACAATTACTCTGTGGTCTTTTAGAATCCCATTTCTTGTGCTTCTCATGTTCAGGGAGAAGGGAAATTGTCAAAGTAAGATATGACTTCAAGACTTTTGTCTCAGCTCTCTTCTGTGTTTTGAAATGATACTGCTACTCTCTCTTTTCTCTTGTTTCTCAGTGTCCTTCACTTCTAGTATTTCCTGTCTAGTCAGATAGTAATTATAATAACATTAAAGCAAAAGCAGGTTCTGTCTGTTCAGTGCTTGAATGGGAGTTTTTGGGAAGTGGTGTGTGCAAGAAAAGGAAGTTATTTGCGGATCAGTCGTGATCTCCTTTGAGTTTAAACACAACATGAGCCCACCTTCCATGCTCACTTCCCAATGTGAACACCAAGTGCTCTGAAGGATGATCTCTTGTGAGGGAGAAGGAAAGCAAAGATAGCTCACTGCTGACAGAATCTTAAGGGTTTTTCCATCTGGAATAAAAGATTTTTGTAGCTTGACAGAAAATCAATGCTTTCTCATTCTTATTAGGCCTGTAGCAACATCATCTGTAGACATCTGTACACCAGGGAAAACTTAATTTAAAGTTCCCATCATTGCACCCATATTGCTGCTAAGATGCTTGGGATTCTTCATGCAGATGAGGTTTGCTTAGTCTTCCTTGGACTAGCAGCATCAGAGTGTCTTATGGAGGGTAAGCTCCCTTGGTCAAATTTGTTGCTAACTCTTCAAATTATATCTCCTTAGAAAAAAATGACTTTTGTTTTAAGTATGACTGTAGGAATGAAGGCAGCTCTGCTAGTGTTAATTCTTCCAATATTGCCAGGATCTGCACATCTGCAGGAATGGTAAATACAATGATTTACATTGCAAAGTCCTAGAACAACACAGCAGAGTATAATCTCTTGTGTATTTTGGCAAAACACATACCTTACCACTGGGAAATCTTTTGTTTATATTTGAAGTGCTGAGAAGGTAATCAACTAATTTTGGTGATTGTTTGAGTAGGAGTGTTGTGTGTACATGAGCATGAGGCAAAGGGCTTCTCATTAGAGCCTGAATATGAACACGTGAAAGCAAATGACAATAACTAATATGGCTGTTAGGAGGAGGGAGAGATTATGGAGAGTGTGTCTTAAAAAGGAAAGCATCGTGCAACTTCAGTTGCCTGCTAAGCACTTCCTTGGAGGGTAGCTCAATACTTTTTGTGTCTGATCCCAGCAGTCTGAGCACCATGAGACCGAAGTGGCAAGAGTAAGGCTGTGGTTCTTAGTAGATGAAGGAGAGAACAGGCAGCTCTTGAAGAAGCCCAGAATTCAGAATATCTAAGGCGTCTGAAAATTGGAGAGGAGCTGAAGTGAATTACTAAGCAGAGCTGGGGACCAATATAAACTAACAATTATAAATGTAAGCCTGAATTTATCAGCTAAAGCCAGGCACCTTGAGTGTGTATGTTTGAGAGCTTCTTGCTAAAAGCAAAGAGAGAGAGAGTGATACATGCTTTGATGCTCTTAAAAAGAAAATGGTTGCAATCCATGTGATTTTGCTGTCAAATGTCTGTGAAAAATAGAAAACATATGTGGAGTGTATGTTCTGCAAATAGTTAGCAACAGTCTTTCAGAAGTGTTTGGTTTGATTTGCAGGGTTCCTTGAAATCCACCATTTAAATGTACATATGTTATGTTGAATCTTCTGTCATTCCCTACTGGGGTAAAATGAGGGCATTGCAGAGGTTCACTTTGGCCTGGCTGAACTTAGGATCCAGTTGCTTTCAATGGAGAGAATTTTCCAAAGGGGTTAATTCAGTGTCTGAAAAAATGAGTATTTTGCTCATGTTTTAGAGGCACTGTCTCTCTTTGTGGTCTACAGAAGGCTACATTTAATCCATCACCCTTTGAACACCCCTTATTCCTTGGTATATTTAAGCATATTCCTGGTTCCAGAAAGGGATACTGCTTACTTCTCAGTATATGGATGCTAGAATGATGATTGCAGTTGCATAAATGAAGACTTTTGAAAAGGGTTCCAGATTCTGATCTTAGATTGTCTGTTGTCCTTTGTATGTTTTTAAGAAATTTCATTACATCTGCTTGATTCTACTGAACAAAACTTGAAATCTACCAGTGCAAATGTGTAAAATGTTCAGGTTTTCTCTTTACAATCTTCCTAAATGAGGGAAGGTCCTAATAATTGCAGGAAGAAGTGAGGAACTTCAGGGTCAGGTAGCTCAGCACCTCTAATTGATACTTCATTAGAACAAAATGCACTAAGAGAGTGAAATGCAGGATCTGCAGCAAATGGGGCTCAGTGGCAGCAGTGAGAGTTGCAGGAGGACAGCAAAATGTGGCCCATTTGCCTGGGGGACTGTCTGGGATTTGGTGGTATGAAAGGTCCTCCAAAAATGTAAAATGTTATTACATGCCATTAACTCAGTACACATCAGAACAAATGACTGTGACAACTGAACTGTGCACTTCAAGGGTGTGTGTTAGAGCCCCTCTTGGGTTCATTCTGCTTGTTACTGTTGGTGATGGACAGTGATGTACAGGTTGGTCTTTACAGCAGATCATCTTTAGTGATAATTAATGAATTTTTGTCACAGCCATACTTTGCCTTCTCACTAATTCTTTTTGTTTTTCCTATTTTTCTACCTAAATAATCTACTCTCACCATGCTCATGTTGGTAATTGAAGCAGACCCATAGCCAACTTCCACACCAAACTCTCAGCGTTCAGCTATTGTGGCATCCATGTAGTTCCTCTTGCTTTTCAAATGCCACAGAATCACACCAAAAAGCTCACTGCCTCTCTTATAATTCTTTCTTTTTCTCCCTCCCTTGTAGAGCACGATGAATGCGGCAGTGAACAGCATAACTGTGATGAGAATGCAATCTGTACTAACACTGTCAGGGGACATAGCTGCACCTGCAAACCTGGATACGTGGGGAATGGGACCATCTGCCGAGGTAAGTCTGTTCCTCTAGGAACACCAGAGAAGTGGCAGACTCTATTAATATTTTCTGACAGTCACCTACATTCTGGTAACTTGTGATGGCTGCATTCTGTCAATGATTGGCTGCAAGATTTATTATCTAGCAAATAAAGTATGCCTGGAGATGATGGGAACTGATTTGTGCACAACTTCTTGGCAAGAAGGAAATATTTTTGGAATTCTGGAAAAGAACTTTTCATATACTGACATTTGAGTTGGTATCATTCTTCCTTTCAGTGTTGTTCATTGTCTTATAAAATGTAGATGTTATGTGCTATCATCCTTGGGTTTTACAATTTAGTCAGATGCCTTTTAAATTAGGATTACTGTCTTTTATGTTAACTTCACATGGTTGCTCTTTGACTACTCGCATCAGAAAAGGCAGGGTTTCCTAACTCTTTACCTTTAAATGTGTAGTTTGGAGATATCCCAGCTGTGTAAACAAGAGATGCTGATATCCAGCCATGCTTTCTCAGAAGTAATTTATTGAGGATGGGTTTAGGTTTTTTTTTTTTAGTTTTGTTCCTGCAGAGAAAGAGAAGCAAATATGTTACATAAAGACAGAAGAGGGAATATGTTGAGTAGCTACTTTAGAGAGGGCTATGTAATGAAGTGCTGTTGAGGTACTAATTTGTTTCTGATTTGTATTTGTCTCATAAAAAATCATTTTTGTCTTGTCTGGGATTGTATACTTTCTGACTTTTTAAACAGAACTGCAGTAATAGAAACTAACTTTTTTTTTTTTTTTTTTTTTTAAATTAAAACTGTTGCAATTGAGGAATGTACTGAGTAAAATATTCTGTACATAGATTGGGGGCACAAGAGGCTGGATATTAATTTTCCAGAATGTTGTAAATTGGCCCAACAATTCCTTAAAAGAGAATTAAGATTGATGCCATTCTTGTTTCAAGCTAAAATTCTTCACCAAGCTTAGCCTGTCATCTGCTGAATTAGTGTCTACCATCTGATTGCTTTGTGATATGACTTTCTTTGGGTACTGTCCATCTGCACAAGAGCACCCTTGTCATGAAAACTGTGAGATCGTTTGGAAGGATTCCAGAAGGAATGCAAAATGTTTTGAAAATAGTAGATAGATTAAAACCTTGGTCTGTCTCTATTGAAGATGAAGAAGAGATACTGAGGAGAAGTGGATCTAGATGATCTCTAAGGCCCCTTCCAACCCTAGCCATTCTATAATTCTTTGTTTTCAATCTTGGATTACAGTGAACTGCAGCGTAGGCAACTATAGCTTCAGGAAAGGCTAAGTGAACAGACTGGCTCTCTTTGACTGGGTTTTTCTGGTGGCTTTTGTTTTGGTTTTTAGTGTTGGTTTTTTTGTTTTTTTTTAACCTAAGGATAATACAACCCTAAATCATATTTCTTTGAAACGGGGATGTTCAGATTAAAAATAATCATCATATGATTAATAAAAATTGTTTTCACACTGCTTTTCTTCACTTGGACACCTCGATATTTGATTTAATGTGCCCCAAACTCAAAGTGAAACCCATACTACATATTTATTAATCTAGTAATGTTGAGGTAAAGAAATTGCTCTGGAGAAACACAATAGCTTTACCCTTAAAGTTCTTCTGAAATCTGAATTGTGGATAATATATGTTACATATGCTTTTAGTATGCCTTGAGTTGCAGAAGTTCAGGTATATTTCTCTTTTTGAGACAGGTGTATATGGAAATGGAGAAAACAAAGTGCATTCTTACCTTTGGACTGGGAAACAAATTGAAAAGAAAACTGGAGGTGAAATCAAAGTGGTTGACAGTCTAATGATTATTCAAGTCACTAGGGAAGGAATACTACTGCCAAGCAACTAGTATTAGATTTGTGTGCAGTTTAGTAAATAGTGAAACACTCAATGTAAAGCAGTGGTCTTTCAGCCTGGGCCTCTGTGGTCACTTGAGATTTTTAAAAGTTTCCATGACTAATTTAAGAAAGGTTCCCATTCTACCCATGAGATATATTTTTTGCACATTTTTAAACCAAGTTTAGTGGTGATATGTTGTGAGTGGAATATGGCTAAAAATGAAAAGGTAACAGAAAAAATAGCAGTTACCAGTGACAAGTTTTAATTGCACCAGTGCTAGGTTTTGCACAAGGCAAGAGAGGGGAGAACGTGTGAAGACAACTATAAACTGCTTATGTTGTCTTGTAATTTTGGGGCTTTATCTTCAGATGATATAAATAAGAAAAATAGATATAAGCCTTGGTGATAAGTTTAATGTAATACTGTCTGAAGAGATGAGACACATTTCTCTTCTCCATGAGTCATCTGTAAATGCTTTATAAATATTTATATGTTATAGATGTTTATATGCACAAAACAGTTGTTCCAACTACTACCCTGTAGTTCATTAAGAGTCCTTATTAATATTGTCCAGAAAACTATACACAGAGTAATGATAATTTTATGAGGGAAAAGAACTGGCTTTGTGCCTGATTCTACAATGTGTTTTAGAAAAAAACCCCACAACATAATAATGTTCCTCTTGGACTTTATTGGATAATCTAGACAAACCAGAATACTGTTATTTGTATTTTAGAAATGAAAACATGTGTAGTTAAATTAACTTGCACGGTGAGCTACCGGTAAATATAATGAAATTACTCTGGCAGGAATTTGTGATATTTGCATTTTTTTGTGAAAAGTATGGAGAAATAAAAAAGGACAGGCATAATCTAGATATGAATATTGTGGTTGCTGGGGATTTAGAAACAAAAACAAAGATGAATGTTGAAAAGGAAAGCAAATAACACTAAAAAAAAATCTGTGTAATCAGGCTGTCACACTTCTTGAGAGGAAAAATACTTAAGGAGTTGCTTTACTGTAAATTTGGTAGACTGAAGTGTGTAATTAAGGGCTGGGTTTTTTCAAACAAGACGTGGAAACTGTCATGAAGGAAGGTGATGGAAAAGGGCACAGACAGTGACCAAATGCACTTCTACATTAAAACAGATACTCCCGTAGCTGAAGTGACATAAAAAATGGAAAGAGAAGTGAAGATGAACACCAGAAAATCTTTGTAAATATGTAGTTACCAATATATAAACAGTGAGACCATATAATAGAGACCAATCAGCTTTATTTCCTATGAATGCTCTATTTTTCTCTGAAAGAAGTGGGCTTTAACACTTCAGAAAGACAGTGAAATTTTGGCACTAGGTTGGAACAGAATGAGGGTGAGGTGAGCTGAAATGACAAGGAAGGACAATGTTGTGCCATCAGCCTTAGTGAGTTTGACAGTGCTGGACCTAGAATCAGGTAGATTATATTTTAGGATTTAGTCAGAAAATGAAAAGTAAAAAATGGAAATATTTGCTGGAAGAAATTACAGCATTAAAGGCAGAGGACAGCGGTATAACTAGCTGAATAGAGAGCATTATGAATCCATGCATTGGTTAAGTTGTTCTTTTAGGTAGGAAACATGGAAAAAATTCAAAAGAACCAAGAGTGATTCAGGAAATACAAGTTGCAGGTGGGTAATGGAAGATTTGTGCCATGCCTGTTTACTGGAATCCTGTAAATGAGTTATAGAATTCACAGGTGAGGGTGTGAAATAGGGAAAATTGTAACATAGGGTTTAATAGTGCAGCATAAAGGCAATCAACTTAGGGTAGAAGGGAAAGACTGTAAAAATTGCTTTGACAACTGAATGCTTGACTTAAAAAATAAATGTGGTGGGCAAATGATTGCTTGGTACTACATGGCACTTCGCAGCATGCAAATCAGTGTTTAGCAGCAGTGGTGAGATAAAAGATGTCCTAGTTTCCTAGGAAAACCAGGTTTATGAATAACCCATCACCTGTAGACAAGGTGGTGTGTGCGAGAGTAAAACTGTCATGTATAAAATGAATAAAACTCACTGTCATGACTCTAGCTGAAGAACCAGCGATACTGAAAACAGAAATAAACACCACATTTAGACAGTAGAGCCTGGAAAATGTGAATGGGGAAAACATCTTTTTCTGCTTCTTGTCTTGATAAGTTCTAGTTCCAGTTCCACTTAGCAACCTTGCCCCACATGCTGTGGAAGTGACATGTTGAAGTGGGATGTCCCATTTTTGAAAATATAAAGGACCTTGTGCTCAACCATCTGCTTCACCTGAAAAAGATGGAAACTAGAGAATATTTGCTGTAGGATGTACAGTCCTACAGTTTAGCAGAAGTTTATTATACAGATTGTACTTTGTACACTGACTGAAGTCAAAGAAAGGAGCCCAGGTATACTGAAAAATCAGCAGTTTTCTTAAATCAGTTGATGACATTTGGGATTAAATGCCTGAAAGCAAACAAACAAAACCCCACCCACCAGATTTTGTAGGGGTATAGATCAGGCTTTTCAGCATGAATGACATGTAAGTCACACTCAAGGTTTTGTTACAACCAGTTGTTTTCCTTTGGACAAGGAGACCTAGATCTAGTATACAAGCCTTGTTGTAGCTCTTGGTGCTTTGTTCCAAATGTTTGTTTTAAAGTATAAATCCTGCCCACAGAAGTCCTTTTATATTAGCAAAATACAGAAGTGGCTTTGAATACAGTAACAGATGGTAAATGGGAGCAATTCTTCCGAAACAGGGACAAGGTGTGTTTGCTAATCTTTTTTTCATGTCTCTGTATTGGGGAATGAACAGAAGTCTAGCAAGTATTTGTCCCTGTACTTCTATATTTCACTTGTATAGTCTGTCTAACAGGTATATTTAGCATGTTATTACTGTTTCATTTAGTGGTTTCTACTGAGTTGCAGATTTATTAGAATGATGATTACATGAGGTGGATTTAGTTGCAGTCATAAACCTTCAAGCAAATGTGTACAATACGACTGATGCCTGGGCAGAGAAAAATCAGGTAGTGTGAAATAAAACTCAAAACACTGTTTATTCTAACTAGTATTCAGGCTATAGATTTGCTTATTTCTGACAGCGTATAGGATATGATATGATACGATCTGCAGCAATTC